GTGTGTCCGTGATCTATTAGCTTGTACTGTGACTAAAACTGTACAAACAACTACAATTTTGCTAAACAGTGTTCCTGAAATGTTGGCTTTGGTGTTGGCCATTTATTTCAAGCCTTGAAATGTTGGCTTTGGTGTCGGCAAATTTGATTCAAAGCCCTGAAATGTTGGCAATTTGTTTCAAAGCCCTGAAATGTTGACAACTTGTTTCAAAGCCCTGAAATGTTGGCTTTGGTGTACAAAAGTAGTTTCCTTACATTCTGTGTTTTTGTTATTCACAATTTTCTCCAGGGCTTACAGTTACAGCTGGGGAGTTGTTCAACAGCACGAACGAAGGCAAGTTCCGAAGGGGCCGCCCGCCCCTGATGGCACTTTTTTGTCGAGAGCGGCATTGTGGTTTACAATATGCGCAATATATAGCGTATGTTTGGATGTGTCTACTTTACATGTATTGATTTTCAGGAGTGAGTGAGTGATGGCAAAATCAAGGACCGCGCTGCTTACGTCACCAATTATAGCTACCCCACTTCAAAAAAAATTAAATAAATAAATGTAACCACCCGAATTGATTTCACTCCAACTGGATTTTATCCGTTATTTAGAAGAAAAGAAAATTAATCAACAAAAAAATCTGCCGAATAAAAATATATATTTATTTATTTATTGGTTTTCTTAAACGTCTTGAAGCTTCGGCTACATAAAATAAAAAATAATTACGAAAATCTAAGTTAAGAAACAACATCAGTTTATTAATATTTTGTTTTATTATTTTTTATTTGCATTAAAATATCCTGATTAAAAAAATATTTTTTTAAAAAAATCTGACACCAGAGCCCTGATAACTCCACGCGTTTCAATAAAAAGAATGTTTATTTTATTTATCTTTGTCTTACACCCGCCTCATGTCGTCATTGCAAGTGCACACACACACACACACACACACACACACGTATTTGTTTTATATTTAAATTAATGGTGCTTCAGACTCTTTGAAATGGCAGTGGGAATATTTCAGGCTGCCCAACCTGGGATCTTCATTAATCTTCAACCAACATTTGCTCAATTTGGATACGAAGGCTTCTTGAGATTTTCAATGAGTACCATGACAGACACCATGCTAAGAACCTCGGTCTCAAACGAACTGGTATTGTGATTACATTTGAAGCCATGTATTAGCAGCCATGTATTAGAAGCCGTGTGTTTTAGCCATACATTAGAAACCATGTACTAGAAACCGTGTTTTAAGAAGCCATGTATTAAAAGCCATATATTAGAAGCCATGTATTTTTTTTTTTTTAAATAAATAATTCATTAAAAATGTTGGTTTTCTTTTCATGGAGTTGTGTCTAGAATGTTTTGTAGTTGTAAAGCCTTAACAGTCATCGTTCAGTGGTAGTGGTTTAATTAGACTAGCTGTAATGTTAGCAAAAATAAAAATAATATAAATTATTTATTTTAAAAAAAAATTCTTAGCATTTTGGATCAATTCTCCACTTGACAAACTTTATTTCCAGCGTTTATTTTTTCAGGTTTAACCCTACTCTGTTTTACTCATTTTATTTTGTACTAACCTGATTGCAGTCTCTCCCCTTATTACCCCTTTTTTTCCTTAGGAATGCTTTGAGCAAGTTTTTTTTTTTTTTTTAAATCCCTTCACAGACTCGCTCGGTATAACATGTGACCCCTACATTTTTTTGACAAGTGTTTTTTTTTGTTTTTTTTAATAAAATAATCTTCCTACTCCATCAAACCCTTTAATCATCTTCCTCAACCTCACGGCATACTCCCTCAAACCAGAACCGAAATCTTCTAAAACTCCACCCAATCCCCTATCAACGAAAGCAGTAAGCACTGAGGTTGTCGACATAATTTTTCTTCTTCTTCCTTTTCTTTTTTTCCACAGAGATATCTTCACACAATTTTTCTCTATAAAAATTTCTCCTCTTCAGAGCCGCCATGTTGTATTTTTATCTTATCTCCAGCCAACACGAGGCACCCCGAAGCACGGCGTTGGCAGGAATGGCCTTCCATTTTTCCCCCCTCCTTCCTTGATATGACCTGGTCGACGGCAGGCTTAGTTCACCTTTTTCTTTCCTTTAATGAGAACGATGGGGCGGGAATGCCGAGTTTTGATCTGGCATCTTAAAACTAGGAAGTTTGGAGAGTACTTAACTTTTTTTAAGGAATGGCGTGGCGCTCAGGTCGGCCAGCCTATTGGAGTGTTTTGGGATTTAAATAAAGGTTGGGGGGGGGGGTTGAATTTAACTAAAATAACAAGATTATGCATGCATACATATATATATATAACTTTTTTTTGGGGGGGGGGG